CGAAAGATTTAAGACAAATTTAGTAAATGTGCATGGTGTGGAAATAATGTGTTATCCAATACATGCTACATGTTTCTGTCTGATATGTAGTAGGAACACTACTGGTTTTTATACCCTACGACAGACACCAGTGCCATAAAGCGTTCACTCAATACACCGTAAATTTCCCACAAAAAAATCTATACTTGACAGTACTCCTCTTCTTATCAGCGATATTTCTTAAAATGGATTTTGTGGTGAATTAAAAAAAAAAAAGAATCCATGGATTTTGAACACAATCATTGTGTTTATTGATAGTAGTGGTGGTATTTTAATGTGACTGCAGCTTTCACGAAACCCTAACCTTGGTTGGACCGACTGGAATAGGTGGTATCAGTCCTCATAACTCTCTCCACTAGGAGACTGCACAAGGGAATAAAAGATAAGTTTTTAATCCTCGAGACGGATGCCAAACGAAGGGAAAAGTGACAGTTTTATCAGAGCCTGCTGAAGACAGCCTATCTTCTTGTGCTGAAATACAATCAACACCAGGCCACACTGCCAAACGAAGGGCCCTGGGAATAGCAAGCTGGCCCAACGTGTAGGAAATCCACACACTTGATTCAATAAGTCGCTTTATGACAAGGATCTTAGTTTGATTAATGATCAAGTTGAATGTTTGTAAGATTATCACAGGAGAACGGGGTATGTGAGATTCACCACGAGAATGTGAGGAAACTTTCTAATCTAGATTGTTGCTCTACCTTACAAATCTATCCTAGTTAGATCAATGACTCAGTATTTAAGCTAACATTACTTGTTTTAGAATTTCACTGATTCCCCTTTAAAAATAATGCTAGACAACTAAACATTTGAGTGTGTTTTTATTTTATTCCCTTGTTGCCTTTATTTTGTAAAATATCACCAATCAACAGCTGTTACTGACCACCAAGGTTCTATCAGAAAGGCTATTTAATGTAGCTACCTTTTTATTATACACTTCTAATGAATCACTTCAAAATCTGATCAATGAACACCCTAAAATAATCCATAATAAACAAAGCAGACAAATAGTGCTCTCCTGTAGTATCTACAAATATCATCCACTGATAAATCTGAAACATTCTAGATGTCACTATGAAAGATGTCACCTAATAGATCTAATGCCATACAGTAGCATCTATATGCATTCATGTAGCAGGCCCTGACATAAAACATGTATTACAATATCCTGACATTTTGGGAGTCAAACCCCTGCCTACCACAGCACCAGGTTTCAGGGCTTTCCAATGTGTCCTGGACCTCATGGCAGGCCAAAGCTAATACTTCCATTTCAGGTTTAGGTTCTGCCTGTTTAAGCTTTCAAACACGGGGGTCTTTGGTATGATGGCTTTACATTAATAAAATCTTTATGTAAATTTTACACTGATCTTTTTACACAATGGGAATACAAATGATAATGATAATCTGCTATAACATATGGTCCAATATAGAAATACTATATCATTATATCCCTCCTACCAAGAAGCCTAATCTTAATGTAAACCTGTGGACTAAGAACAAACTCCACAAGCCATTTTCACTTTCTTTTCCCCAGCAACTCACCTGTGTGAGGGGAATGGGGGACACTGGCCTCAAGTTTCATGTGTCGTTTGTTGATGTAGTGACAGCACAAACTCTGACAACACTGGAATTAGTTAATATGGCTATGTTTGTGTCTAAACAGTTATTTGATAAACCTGTATCTGATTCTAACTTTCCACTCATCAGTACTCTGTATATAGACTTTATATCCAGAATATTTCCTGTGTCTTTCCTACGGGCTGCGATAAAGTCCTTTGACTTTTTGCTCAACCTGTAATTAGATTTTTGCACCGTCCACCCCTAGTACCTATAGACGGTCAGTAAACCTGGAATTCCTCGACTGCCCATAAGGTGTGGCCATGAAATCTCCATCCATTACAGGGACTTGGCATCCATCGCTCAAAAAGCTTCTACAGTAAACAGCAACCTAGAAATTTCCTCTAATTAAAGATTCCTCCACCTTTCCTACAGATCCCGTAGCCTGTTCCACAGGGATTAGGTTTCATCCCTGCGGATACAAGACAATATTACCCGCACCCATAATTACTTTTTTCATTAAATCAGGAATTCGATATCTAGTCAAATCCATCAATATAAATTGCAAAGATTATCATGTATCATATTTCCCCCAAGGGTGGGGCTCTTCTCTAAGACACAAGATTGTCCGTGTTGATATGACAATTATCCACGCTGGACATGTACTTTAAGTTGTGTATATGAATGTATCGTAATTTAAGCTGGCTTCTAGAAATCCAGCAGCAGGACAAATGTAAAACATTACTCCCATACACTTAATTTGTGTCAACTGTAATATCAAAATTATAGAGTGAACAATATTTTTCATTTTTCTATAAAATTACAATGATTGTTAAGTTCATTATAAGGCCTCATTATTTTATAAATAAAATGCTTGAATCGCAAAGCATCATAGGTTGATAATATAAACCTTTTTGTTTTCAAGTTCAGTAGGTTCTGGGTACTGTTGTGGTGTATTTATTTCACAAAGAAATGTAATTGGAGCCAAGGTCTGACTATCTCTACTGTCTCTATCTAGGGTAGAAGATGGCTGTGATCAACCTGTCTCTATCTAGGTTAGAAGATGGCTGTGATCAACCTGTCTCTACCTAGAGTAGAAGATGGCTGTGATCAACCTGTCTCTATCTAGAGTAGAAGATGGCTGTGCTCAACCTGTCTATCTAGGTTTGAAGTTGGCTGTGATTACCCTGTCTCTATCTAGGTTAGAAGATGTCTGTGATAAACCTGTCTCTATCTACGGGAGAAGATGGCTGTGATCCACCTGTCTCTATCTAGGTTAGAAGGTGGCTGTCATTAGCCTGTCTATCTAGGTTAGAAGATGGCTGTGATCCACCTGTCTCTATCTAGGTTAGAAGGTGGCTGTCATTAGCCTGTCTATCTAGGTTAGAAGATGGCGGTGATCAACCTGTCTCTATCTAGAGTAGAAGATGGCTGTGATCAACCTGTCTTTATATATATGGTAGAAGACTGCTGTGATCAACCTGCCTATATCTAGGGTAGAAGATGGCTGTGATCAACCTGTCTTTATATAGGGTAGAAGATGGCTGTGATCAACCTGTCTCTATCTAGAGTAGAAGATGGCTGTGATCAACCTGTCTCTATCTAGAGTAGAAGATGGCTGTGATCAACCTGTCTGTATCTAGGGTAGAAGATGGCTGTGCTCAACCTGTCTCTATCTAGGGTAGAAGATTGATGTGATCAACCTGTCTCTATCTACGGTAGAAGATGGCTGTGATCAACCTGTCTCTATCTAGAGTAGAAGATGGCTGTGATCAACCTGTCTATATCTAGGGTAGAAGATGGCTGTGATGAACCTGTCTCTATCTAGAGTAGAAGATGGCTGTGATCAACCTGTCTGTATCTAGGGTAGAAGATGGCTGTGCTCAACCTGTCTCTATCTAGGGTAGAAGATTGATGTGATCAACCTGTCTCTATCTACGGTAGAAGAAGGCTGTGATCAACCTGTCTCTATCTAGGGTAAAAGATTGCTATGATCAACCTGTCTATCTAGGTTAGAAGATGGCTGTGATCAACCTGTCTCTATCTACGGTAGAAGAAGGCTGTGATCAACCTGTCTCTATCTAGGGTAGAAGAAGGCTGTGATCAACCTGTCTCTATCTAGGGTAAAAGATTGCTATGATCAACCTGTCTATCTAGGTTAGAAGATGGCTGTGATCAACCTGTCTCTATATAGGGTAGAAGATGGCTGTGATCAACCTGTCTCTATCTAGAGTAGAAGATGGCTGTGATCAACCTGTCTGTATCTAGGGTAGAAGATGGCTGTGCTCAACCTGTCTCTATCTAGGGTAGAAGATTGATGTGATCAACCTGTCTCTATCTAGGGTAGAAGAAGGCTGTGATCAACCTGTCTCTATCTAGGGTAGAAGATGGATGCGATCAACCTGTCTCTATCTAGGGTAGAAGATTGATGTGATCAACCTGTCTCTATCTACGGTAGAAGATGGCTGTGATCAACCTGTCTCTATATAGGGTAGATGATGGCTGTGATCAACCTGTCTTTATATAGGGTAGAAGATGGCTGTGATCAACCTGTCTCTATCTACGGTAGAAGATGACTGTGATCAACCTGTCTCTATCTAGAGTAGAAGATGGCTGTGATCAACCTGTCTCTATCTAGAGCTAGCTAAAACCTGGATATCAATACCCATCATAGACAGTCCTATATATATAGATAGGATCAGTGGCACTAGAAGCTAGCTAAAACCGGGATATCAATACCCAACATAGACAGTCCTATATATAGATAGGATCAGTGGCACGAGGAGCTCGCTAAAACCTGGATATCAATACCCATCATAGACAGGCCTATATATAGATAGGATCAGTGGCACTAGGAGCTAGCTAAAACCTGGATATCAATACCAATCATAGGCAGTCCTATATATAGATAGGATCAGTGGCACTAGGAGCTAGCTAAAACCTTGATATCAATACCCATCAGGGCAGTTTTATATAGATATAGAGCTGCCATACACATGTCAAATAAATGTCTTGGACAGATCTAAGTATGTCCCCAACATTTACAATGGTTAGTTTCATAACTTTCCTGGAAGCAGTCAGAAAAAAAATGCTTTATCCTAATCAGTTGTAGGTTTAGATCTCTTTACAGTGTTTCAACCCCCTGTGTGGTGGTTAAGCAAGGTTAAGGTGCCTGGCATTAAAGACAATTTTCACCTTGGTTTGAGTCATTTCTTTATTAAAACATGTTTTTATACTATTTTTCTGAAATTCAAACGTTTATTTTTTTTATATTTTTTTTAACATTGTTTTCCTTATGATAGAAGGTTTGCCTTTACTCTTTCCCCGTCTAAAGACAGACATATTGTTATGGACAAAAAACAAATGCCAGTATTAGGCTTATAATGATAGCCTGGACTTACTTGAAGAGGTAGAGATAGATGGCTGTGGCTGCACTGAATAGCAGTACCTGAAAAATAGAAACAGGGAGAGCACATTAATAAGTGTGTTACAATGGGTCTCGGCCATCTTAATTACAGCAATCCTGCAGTGAGTATAACAGACTTCCTTTGTTCATAATGAAGCTTCCCTTTCGGTCTATTTCAAACTAAATCACAACCCCACTTTTTATTTTCTCATCCTGTGTGATTTTAAAGACGGAAATTATCTATTTTCCAGTGGATAGTTTTTCTCCCAAGTATGAAAGGTCTTAAAAGGTCTTTCAACTGTCAATTACACACAAACAATTTGAAATTTTAGAGATAATCAACTCTTCTTCCCGGCTGCAGGAAATGACAGATGAGATCAGACTGCGGAGAATGATGATTGGCCGGGAGGAGATAAAGGCATGTGGTGATTGGCTAAGACAATAGGGAAGCTTGTGATTGCCTGGATAATGGTAGGGAGTAATTACAGTAATAAACATTTGGACGCAAGACTCTGCTGTCATTCTACTTAACAACCAAGCTCTCCTAATAATAGGGTCATCATACTTCCTTGGGGCTTCACAGGAAGTAATATGGCCCCTGTCAGCCAAGCGAGTTCACGTCCACATCTTGCAGAATTAATTAACTATCAAAGACAAAATATTGCCATCAGCATTGTCATGTGTCGCATCAAAAGGAATACCTGAACGTAACGTTATTGACAATATCATTTCTTTTACATTAAAAGAACAAAAGGATTAAGACTTTAAACAAGGCACCCTACTGTACACTAATCATCCTGGAATGACGTTCCTGTGGATGACTACGGAAATAAGCGTAGGCAAACTCCGGCTCTCCCCAATGTTTTACAGGTATGACATGCAACTTCTCAGTGGGAATTCCTTCAGTCATTAACAGTTAATGGTGGAGCATCATGACACAGCAGACCATTTCAAATTGGAGCCAACAGTGCCTGACATACCACTAAGTACCTGCTGGCCCACTTCAGTCCATGAAGTATGTAGAACTCAAATGTTATACCTCAGTACCATTTAACCCATCTCCAGTGTTTCTATACGTTGGTTTTCAACTTCTCAACATCACAATAAATAATAAAAAAAAAAGCCTGCCCTTCATGCTCCTTCATCACAATACCATAATCACAGATAAGTGTAAAAGTTTCTTGTGTGTTTTTAATAAGTTCTCTCATTTATCAGAAAGTTGTAAGTTAGGAGTCTGATGCCAGTTTGAATATCTATAAAATAAACAGCAGCAGTAAGCCAACAGCTCTGCAATAAATGATCTTTCTAATGACGGTCAGACAGATGAAGGAGGCCGCTCCATGGCATCAAAATAAAGCTCATTACCTTTGTAAAATAATGTTAATAACAAGGGATCCCGTACAGGGGTCTTAATCAGCACACACCATTGTAAGATCTTCATTAGTTTTATGTAGGTTTGAGCTTTTTCTGCCATTTGCTAGAGTGATAGTCATGTCAAGAGTCAGCACATCTTGTTACCTATATGATCAACACTTATGCTGCTGGGTTTGACATTGTCATTATATATCGTTGCCCCATGGACTGTAATATGTTAATTTGTTAAAGAAAACTAGAACATTGACAGGTCAGTAAGGGCCCCGTCTTGTGGCAATATATCCCCCATAATCATCAAGAAGCAATCTGCCCATATGGCTGAGCTTGACGTTTGATATTTGGACTTCAAAAAGAATCACAAGGAAACAAAATATACATTTTACATGTACTATGATGTGAGTCTTGTTTCCTTCCACCTCCATATTTGCTGGGCTAACAGAAATGTAAATACTGGTGCAATACTCATTTGTTAGCTTTGATTTGTTTTATTTCACCTTATATATACCTCCTCCTTCAAGAGCCGGGTCAAAGTCAGAGATCCACTTTGTCTTTGACCTTTGGACCCAAATGACCTTGACCATTAACCCAGTGACCCTGATCTTTGGTCAGTTGACTTATTCTTTAATTCCCACCAACTTTGCTTCTTAATATCATAACAAAATGTTCATAAGTGAAAAATACAAAACTTGATCTTGACCCTTTGGAACCCGTAACCTGGACCTAAGGTCAGTGGACTCTGTGTTAAGTTCTGAACAACATTGCTTCATAAAGTCATAACAAAATGTTCATAAGTGGAAAATACAAAACTTGATCTTGACCCGTTGGAACCCGTAACCTGGACCTAAGGTCAGTGGACTCTGTGTGAAGTTCTGAACAACATTGCTTCATAAAGTCATAACAAAATGTTCATAAGTGGAAAATACAAAACTTGATCTTGACCCTTTGGATCCCGTAACCTGGACCTAAGGTCAGTGGACTCTGTGTTAAGTTCTGAACAAGTTTGCTACATAATACCATAAAATGACCTTGACTTTAAGTCAGTTGACTCCTTTTAAAATTCGGACCAACTTTGCTTCATAATATCATTACAAAATGTTCATCAGTGAAAAATACAAAACTTGATCTTGACCCTTTGGATCCCGTAACCTGGACCTAAGGTCAGTGGAATCTGTGTTAAGTTCTGAACAACATTGACATACTGTCATAACAAAATGTTCATAAGTGGAAAATACAAAACTTGATCTTGACCCTTTGGAACCCGTACCCTGGACCTAAGGTCAGTGGAATCTGTGTTAAGTTCTGAACAACCTTGCTTCATAATGTCATAACAAAATGTTCATAAGTGGAAAATACAAAACTTGATCTTGACCCTTTGGAACCCGTAACCTGGACCGAAGGTCAGTGGACTCTGTGTGAAGTTCTGAACAACATTGCTTCATAATAACATAACAAAATGTTCATCAGGAAAAAGGTACAAAATTTAACCTTGACCTTTGACCCAATGACCTTGACCTTTGACCTTGACTTTTTACCTTAATGTATATTTTTGTGAACTGAACATCTTGACCAAGTTTCATGTACATCGGTCAATAAATACCAAAGTTATCAGCCAGGAACAAAATTTGTGGTCGGACAGGCAGACAGACAGACAGACAGAGTGATTACTATAGGACACCCGTATCTCCGATACGGAGCCCAAATAAACCAACAGTGATTTCTAGCAGCAATATTTTTCTTCTATAGTCCCAAAAAAGACAAAGCAAATTTATGAAACAGGAAGAATTCATGAAATTCAGAGAGAAGATCTGTACAACATGTTCTGTGAAATGGTGTTCAAAAACTTTAATGGTAAAATTCAAGATGTCTGTCTGGCAGCCTTCTTGTTTTTCCACCCAGTCTCAAACTTAAACAAGGGGCCGATTGGGCTTCACAAACACATTAGCAACACAGCTATTTTTTCATTGTTAAAATGTAAAGTGGAAATACTCATGTTCACAATGAAACCTGTGGCATTCCTCGTCATGTCACAAAACAAACACTAAGAACCACAGGACTATATGTAGGATGCAGGCCCTATATGTCTAATAATGTATTCAAATAAATTACTCAACACTAGCAATATAGAAAATAGAAATCAAAGCTACGTTTCACTCTAGTTTTTAAATCTATGCAATGACAAATATTGCATATTTCGATTTCTACCATGATATCTTACATGTAATGATAATCAATATTTTCTCTAAACTTTATGAGAAAGAAAAATTATGATCAAATGCTTGACCAAGTTTTACAATTATTCTATACATTTTCAAAGGGAAAAACTAATGATATATATGCAATGATTGATTTCCAAGAAAAAAGATGAAACTAGAAAATGTCTGTAAGACATAAATGCGCTCGCTGCCATGTGAAATTAGTTTCAGTGTTCTATAAAAAGTTAAAACCACTTTGATCTTGATACCCTGAAACATGCACACACACACAAGGTACTACACTTCAAGTTGATAAGTTGATTTTAATATTCATATGGATTTTTTTCTGTATGTTATTACCATCTCCATAACATATTGAATGAAGTTGCTAAGTGTTTAAATGAATCAGTTGATGATTTTCTATATAAAGCAACAGTGACCTTGGCCTTGACCTTGGAACCCTGAAACACAACAATGTCCGAAGTATAATCCTACTTGACCTTTGCATAAAGTTTGACCAAAATCCATGAAAGAATGAAGTTGCTAAGCGTTTACATTGAATCGGGACGGGACGCGAAGGGACGGGAAGAATTTCTATATATAGCAAGTGTGACCTTGGCCTTGACCTTGGATCCCTGAAATACAACGATGTCCAAAATACACTCTAACTTGACCTTTGTATAAAGTTTGACCAAAATCTGTCGAAGAATGAATTTGCTAAGTGTTTACATTGAATCAGGACGCTACGGGACGGGACGGGATGGACATGGGCAACACTATATGCCCCCCCATTTTATGGCGGGGGCATAAACACCATATTTATGATGTCATCAAACTGATTCACGTCATTTTATTTTTCAATGTACTCATTGATCTGGTGTTGCAGTAGTCTTAAGATAATGTTCTTAAATATACTGACATGTTGATAACAATAAACCCTATATATTAAACAATATCACAGCTAAACTGGACAGATGGAAAGATGTTCAAATGGAGGTTGATGAAATAGTCAGCTATGATGGACAAAGGACAGATATACTAACAGTAAGGGCAGACAGATAGCAGACACAGAGATGGACATACATGATGGATACCAGGCAGAGAGAGGATGTATATACACAGGAATGATGAACAGAAGAGGCATAAAGGTGATAGACAGAAAGCGAAGACATGAGAAGACGGACAGAAGATCAAGATGGACTGAAAACATGATGAACAAAACACAGATGACAGACAAAAGACTGATATGACAGAATGATAGACAAATGGATTGACAAAAACTACAGGAAGAAATGACAGAGGGAGGACGTGATATACAGACATGGTGAAGAACTAATGAGATCTGAGACCGTTAGACTAAATCTACATGCATGTAAAGACGCTACACTTATATACAACATGTACTGGCAGAAAAATGCCAACAGGTTCTGACAGGCATTTTAATTAATTGTGACATGTGTGACACATTAATTATGT